ACATATTCCTTATATAATGTTTTAAAAACCACATGAAATTTATTTCCCTCCCCAATATCAAAATTGTATTATATCAAAATGTATTGTATTAAAAAAAGTATTATATCAAAAGTGAGTTTGGTCAGACTCCTTATATCCTATTAAAAAAAAACTAATAAAAACATGAAATGTATTTTCGCTCCCCAATATTTTAGAATTATATTATATCAAAAATGTATTCACCTGATCATATGCATATGAAAAATGTACAAAATAGACAGTAACAAAAAAATTACACAGTCAAACAACTTATCTTTACAGCACTATAAGTCCATAGGAAAACTCCTCTTGGCACGGCTAAATCAGTTTGTTGCTGTAAAGGACAAATCCCAGGTGAGTCTGGGCATAAAACCAGTCACTGGTCTATCTGCTCGGAGTGACGGCAAAATCCAGGAGAGTTGCTAACTATTTAACAAATTCTGTTACTAATATCCTTGAGGAAATATTCTTCAGAAATACACTCAAGTGAAGTGACGGAATCTAAAAGAATTATCAGATTTAATTACTATTTTATTTAATACGTGTAGCAGCATAGATTGACTGCACCAAAACAAAATATTAGGTTAGGTCAACATGTCAAAATTTCCGAAGTTACTTCGTAGACATGACAGGCTTGCGCCATGAAATGAACATGCGCAAAATACAGAAGGCTGTCCAATATTTGTCGAACCTTTTTATATTCCACCAAAAAAAATAGAGAAAAAAGAAAACCAAAAAACCTAATAAGATAATATGGAATAAATAGGAATTTAAGTTTGACTATATAAAAAATGACCTTATGTTTTTTTGCAAGTGAATCAAGGAAATTTTAAATTTAAATTATTTCGGAACTCAAACATAAATCTCTAAAGAAATACTTAACTGCAATGATAAATTTGATTGTATGATAAAGAGATAATACGTATGAAATGATTTACTTACATGGAGCCGCAGCACGCCAAAAAAATCTTCCTTTTTATGTGGAACTCTTATAAATGAATCTTGATTTTATTAGAAAAAATTACTTATTATTATTATTATTGAATTATATTTTATTCTTCCCCCAGATTATTTTCCTTGCTCCTATCCCGTCACTTTGAACGTGAGAAAAAACTCACCGGTTGGCGTGTCTGCGTATACGACTTCTGACCAAAACTGATCGTTCTCGTATAAACTCGATTAACTTTCCTCACAAAGTGCTCCTTGCGCGTGTGTGGAAAAATGTCGTTTTAAAATCGATCGCAGGCGGGTTATAAGAAATTTCTTGAGAGGTTTTATTAATACAATATTTAAATTGGATAATATTGGAGTAATCAGTAGCGTAAACGCTACACTGTGTGTTGCACTAATCCGAAGACATCGTGTCCTTTAAAGACAGTAGACTGTTATTTCTTTCTGAGGAGTTTATGCAGAGCTGGAGAGTCCTGTAGATTCCGCCATCCTGGGCCTACATATAGAGTTGCTGATCGGGACGCCCAGATCTAAGAGGGGAGCAGTGTTACGAACATGTATAACAACCGTGTAACGGTTGCATCTCGAAAGCGACTAGAAGTTTTTGGGCGATATGGAGTGCGAGGGAGAACTACCCGTCACGTAGGCGAATTAGCCTAATTTTCTTAGGGAAAAATTGGCTACAAGTAGCGTACAATAAAAAACAATGGAAAGGAAGACTTGAAGAGGCATATGTTCAGATGTGGACGTGAATGGCTAGACGAAGAAGAAGAAGAAGAAGAACTTCAGAATGTTCTCGAACATAGTAACTTTGGTATATATATGTAAACTCCGATAAAGTTAAGTTTGGGAATATGACTCATAAATCGACGATGCGCGGTGGTTCTTGTTTACTAGTGTTACCATAGAAACGGCCAGTTTGCTGTTTGCCAGTGTCGTAGTTGTGTATCGCAGAGAGTGTTTGACTTGTTGATTTGATCGTGTTGGATATTTTATTATATTATTTTAGATTAGTGCTTAGTATCATATTGATAGTAGTAATTAGTGAATTATTAAGTCATTTAGTGTATTTATAGTGTGTTAACTTTAGTTATTAATAATATTTATTTAACAATATGGCTTCTAAAAATATAGGAACAAAAGGGCTGGGATTAAATAGTCAAGCAAAATCAATAATTTATAATGTTACTACATTTATGGAACAAGATAAAGCATATTTCGAAGCTACCGAAAACCTGTTAATACCTTTAAGGAAATTGACGTAAGTATTGTCAATGATATTTTATTTTCTTATGTGTGTATGTGTGGGTGTGAAAAATATGACACGGAAACAAGTATATCAGCCACATAATGTTTTATTTATATTTAAAGATATTTTTTTGTTCTTGTTTGATACTTTTTTTAGATATATGTATGAATCACTGAAGTTATACTAATTTATATTTCTACTTTCACATATTTAATGTAAAGTGTTGTGTATCTGGAAATATGTATTTTGCGAGTTTTTAAAAATATTCCCACATTGCTGTTTTCATTTTAGTCTAATTTTATTTTTTATTGAGTTAAATATATCCCTTAGTGTATAAATATTGCAAAAGACTGCACTGCTTCCTTAGCTAGAGTATCACCTTTTCATTCCCTGGTATACCTACAAGGCCTCTAACCCAAATAAATGTTATATTTAAATTTACAATCATGTTAATTAAACAATATAACATAGGACACTTCATTCCTTCAAATTTTGTATTTTTATTACTACTCCTTCGAGTATGTTATTGGATGTTAACCAGGTAACATCTTTTATAATTGCAAAAAGTTCGGCAGTATAAATGCTACAAGCAGGTGGTAATTTATATTTCAATGTTCAATATACAACCAACACCTTATTATTACCTATTTACGATGTTTCATCAGATACTTTATACTATTTGCTTGAAACAGAAAATCACCGATCTTAATATGGATTGTGTTAGTAAATATGATTAAGTGCATTTTGTTTCTCAATATTTCCATCTAGTAACATTTAACATTGGTAATTATAGGGATACAATTTTAGCAGCTACAAGTATAAGTAAAAACACCTTATCCAAAATAAGAAAAGAAGGTAGAGAAATCAATAAAAATGGAGCGACCAGTTCATCTTTTACAATTCCAAAAAGAAAACCTTCTCGTGCTAAAAAAAAATTAAATTGGACCAAGGAGAAGAGGAAATCGTCAAAAATGTTATATAGGTATGACTTTTACACCATCGAGAAAAGATCACCTACAATTAATTTTGTTACAAAAAGATCACCTACAAAAATTTTGTTATCGTAAATAAAATAGAATCAGTAAAATTATAAAACAATTGTTTGTTTGTACCCATTTAGAATGAAATAAAAGTTTTCTAGTAAAAACACTGATATAGATACATTAAGGAAATATACATACAAAGGAATCATTAAGGAAAACCATAATTGAATTAGGCCTTAGGTAACACAGTAAAATAATTATTTAGCTGAAAAAATAAAACTGTCTAATGGATCATGTATTTTAAATTGATATTTTATTAACATCGTTGCAGTTAAACTTATGATGAATATGAATAGTGTCTTTTCAAAAGTACTAAATATTTGATTAGTTTATTTCGATTCCGGTTTCCGAAAAACCGTAAACAAAAAATACGATACGATTTTACATAATTTTTGTTTTTAACAAATGAATTGTTCTCACTTCTGTATGCTGTGATACATTTGAAATTTACACCATCATACTTTTGAAAATATATTCTTCAAATTATCTCGAACAAATTTTTAGTGGAGAAAAACCAAAGACAATAGGAGTGTCCTAATGTAAAAATATGAAATTCGTTTAAAACGAATAGAATATTTAAATAAGCTAATTCCATTTCGATCTGAGGGTAGAACCATAGTTTATACCGACGAAACATATATACACAGCATATAAATTATATATTTATTTATATAATCATAGAAGTCTTTACAATCATTACTGTTTAGAAAATAAATACATTATTTAATTAGTTAAAATAAATTACTTGTTTGTACTATATATTATATATTGTTTTGTGTTGTTGAAACCCTTCGTTTCTTAATAATTTGCAAGTATTGAGGAAATTGTTATTTATTAAAGTACTCTTAATAGTTTACTAATTATTTTATCGAATGCCTGACTATAAACTTCAAAAATATTAAAAACTATAAAAATAACAAATTCATTCTCACTTTAATTGAATATACTTATAAAAATTTATTTTAAAGCTGCCGGTTTCCGTCCGCCACTGATAGAAACGGTCCACCCATCTGCACGAACCACTACGTCACATTCCCAAACTTAAGTTTGTCGGACTCTAACGATGTTATAAGTTGAGTTTAGTTGATAAGCTAGTACCGAACTGTAAAGTTATAAATAAATATATTTATATAAATTCGAACCGCTCGTTTTATTTAAAAACTCTACAATAGTATTTCACATATTTCAATTGTATTAATTTAATATTATTTTATATTGGAAATAATTAATGTTAAAGGAGTTATAAAAATTGAAATTTTCACTCATAAAAATATGTATTATTTTATGGAAATAACTAAAATCACAACTCATGATTGTCTATTCTAATTACGATCGTTTTCGATTCGCTGTGTGTAAGTATATGCATGAATATCCACACGTATAAGCTAGTTCCACTATAGAGAAAGTGAAGAGGACAAATTTAATCTTTTCCACTTTTCTCATTTAGATTCAAAAACAATCTGTAGTAATGACAACTCTCAGTGTACTCATTGTCTCATAATATATACCTATTTGCATTTCCTGTGACATTTTAACCATGTGATGTTTTATCTTTAACCATATGATGTTATTTTCAAACAGACCGGTTTAATAATGGATGTTCGCAGATACCTTCATTGACCATTCATCCTTCATTCAAACTTCATTTCCAGATAAACGAAAAAAGTTTTTGACATGTACTGTTAATACAATTTTTTAAACATTATTAAATCGTATTTATTATATATTATTATTTTCAGGTAAATTCATATACCATAGTAAAGAACATCCCAGAAAATAACCAGAGGCTATGGAAAATAAAATACATGATTAATATAACCCCTATTACATTTCCTAATGGATTTCCAGATATTACTGATTTAACATATCTTCAAGAAAATGGCAAATTAAACATTATCAAAAAGGATGCAGTTCATAAAGACCAACTAGGTGCATCCGAAAATTTCAGAAATAATCGATATCGTTTAGATGGTGATACTCTAAGAAGACATTCAAGACGAAAATGGTTAAGTGGTTGGGATTCGCCATAAGTTTCAATTGGTTTTAAAAATAAATAATAATATTTTTCTTAATAAATGTTATGTTATGATCTGAATTGATTGTATTTAGTTTTGTATGTCAATATTCCTTATGTTTTATAGTTTAGTTTGACAACTCCCTCTGACTGTATAATATATATGTATATATATATATATATATATATATATATATATATATATATATATATATATATATATGAAAGATTAAATCTTTTAGCGAAAGCCGCTATCGCCTTAATATATTAAAAGGCCAAATATTTGACCTAGGAGACAAATTCGTTAAACTTCCCGTGCTCGAATCGATATCACTAAAGTGTTATGATCATTTTGGCCTATCCCAGACATCGTCAGACACTTGGGCTGATACAAATTCAAACTCGGAAAGTAAAACGAATGTCTCCCAGAACTTCACTACAGCGTAGTTAGCTTACAAAGGCGCCACCTGCTTTGGTGACCGTGAACGAAACGATATGATAATATCGTTTTCTGTATCCTTTGTGCTATGCGAAATGTGAAAGATTAAATCTTTTAGCGAAAGCCGCTATCGCTTTATTATAGTAAAAGGCCAAATATATGGCCTAGGAGACAAATTCGTTAAAATTCGTTTTGAGTTTGTATCAGCCCAAGTGTCTGACGATGGCTGGGATAGGCCGAAATGATCATAACACTTTAGTGATACCGATTCGAGCACGGGAAGTTTAACGAATTTGTCTCCTAGGCCATATATTTGGCCTTTTAATATAATAAAGCGATAGCGGCTTTCGCTAAAAGATTTAATCTTTCACATTTCGCATAGCACAAAGGATACAGAAAACGATATTATCATATCGTTTCGTTCACGGTCACCAAAGCAGGTGGCGCCTTTGTAAGCTAACTACGCTGTAGTGCAGTTCTGGGAGACATTCGTTTTACTTTTCGAGTTTGAATTTGTATCAGCCCAAGTGTCTGACGATGGCTGGGATAGGCCGAAATGATCATAACACTTTAGTGATAGCGATTCGAGCACGGGAAGTTTAACGAATTTGTCTACTAGGCCATATATTTGGCCTTTTAATATAATAAAGCGATAGCGGCTTTCGCTAAAAGATTTAATCTTTCACATTTCGCATAGCACAAAGGATACAGAAAACGATATTATCATATCGTTTCGTTCACGGTCACCAAAGCAGATGGCGCCTTTGTAAGCTAACTACGCTGTAGTAAAGTTCTGGGAGACATTCGTTTTACTTTCCTAGTTTGAATTTGTATCAGCCCAAGTGTCTGACGATGGCTGGGATACGCCGAAATGATCATAACACTTTAGTGATACCAATTCGAGCACGGGAAGTTTAACGAATTTGTCTTCTAGGCCATATATTTGGCCTTTTAATATAATAAAGCGATAGCGGCTTTCGCTAAAAGATTTAATCTTTCACATTTCGCATAGCACAAAGGATACAGAAAACGATATTATCATATCGTTTCGTTCACGGTCACCAAAGGAGGTGGCGCCTTTGTAAGCTAACTACGCTGTAGTGAAGTTCTGAGAGACATTCGTTTTACTTTGCGAGTTTGAATTTGTATCAGCCCACGTGTCTGACCATGGCTGGGATCATAACACTTTAGTGATACCGATTCGAGCACGGGAAGTTTAACGAATTTGTCTCCTAGGCCATATATTTGGCCTTTATATATATATATATATATATATAGTGTTAGGGCAAAAGGAAGATATTGCAGAAATAAGTTTTAAAGATTTGGTAAAACAAGCTTTTATTATTATCCTAATTAAATATTTTGTTAGCATATATGGGTCAAAAACAGTTTATTTACAATACATAGTATAGTTTAATATGAAATATTGTAAAATAATAAAGTTTGATCTGACTAAAGTCCTTTGGTTTACAGAATAAAATACTGAAGTTTTTTTGACCAGATATTTTAATCATATTAAATACACAAGTTTACATTTACAAATATGGGTCCATCGTTCATACTTGTAGTTGGCAGTTCTTGATAAAAATTTTTGTATACTTCTGGTACGAGCGGTAAGAGATCTAGAAGATGTTGCTTTTTTTCAAGAGCTATATTTATTAACCCATCATACTTTTTCTTGAGTTCTATTACACTTTGTCGACCTCTTCTAGTAAAATTAATTTTCTTAAAATTTTTCTCTTCCAGAGAACTCTTATAAAATTTTGCAGCATATTTTTTTGCGTATTGCAGCTAACGACATTTCTGCAATTTGAACAACTCTCCATTAACATTTTTTTGCTTTACAAACGTTGTCCTTAATAAAGCAGCGAAATCGTAGAAGTCATTTGAAGTTAATTCAATGACCTTAAATGTATGCTGTAGCATATTCCTGACCTAAATGTAGTTTTAAAGTTCTGTCTTCTTAGTTTTCTGGAGTATTTCTTTAATACCTGTGGTACCTATTGACATACGACAGTTTCTTCATTGTGCATGTTATTTTCTTCAGAAGAGTTTAGTTCACACATCTCTAACTGTTCACTTTCAGCGGGTATATGATCCGATGAACTACGTGGTAGCAAATTTTGAGTTATTAATATGTTTAAAATCAATAATACTAATAATTTTTAAATATGCACTCTTAATAGATAACCTCAAAATGTGTATTTAATTATAATGTATGTAGGTATATTTGTATTATAATTTACTTACCATATAAGTTATTTTTTCTACATAAATCCAAAATCTTTGCACTTTACATAATGTAAATCAAATGTAAACTTATATCATTTAAAGGGTTTGTACCCATATATTTTGGTGGCTCATAGCATGTATACCTCGTTTGCACTGATGATGGATTTAATAATCCGAAAACGTTTTGCAATATCTTTGTGATAGCCCGTTTGGGCATTTTATTATATACCTTTTATAAAGGATTTTAAATAAATTTTTTTTAAATTAATTATTAACGATAATAGTCTAAAAAGTGACACAATTGGTAAAAACTTTCAATATAAATAAGATTTCATGTGACATTTGGGACAAACAATAACATAACCAAACTAAATTTGATTTATTAAACAAGAAAAGAGTCTGTCTTTCCTTGTTTAAAGTGGCCTCTCAAGATAGCACTTCCTGTCTAACAATATTTTTGTCCCCACTACCTTTACATTCCCTCTTTTGTCTTTTTGCTCGATGAGTGGAACAGGTTTGGTATACCTGTCCTAGATTTTGTAGGTTATCCGAAATAATATTTGATAATCGTGATAATAGTAAAAACTGTTATAATTAAAGTAACTTACTATCTCTGCTGTATTTATTTTTGTTATTTCACTTCTGGATCACTTTATATATTTTTAAAAAATGAAACGAGAATTCTCCCGTGTTTGTTAGTTCGTATCTTTCAAAGTACCCAAAAGTGTTTCGTCGCCGAGTAATAAAACCATTTGAGAGTTGTTTATGTTACTTCGGCAAACTCTTTTCATGTTTATGCGTCGCAAAAGGATATGTACGCCGTTTTGTTGGTTTTGCTATTTCAGCAGTTTGTTTATTTTCAAGTTAAGCGAACAAATTTTTAATTTCTTTACTCTCGTTGGAACCGCGAGCAAGAGCGGTTCAGCGTTATGTCCAAATTCATGTCGAGTTTGTAAAATTTTCTGTTTTTTCGTTGATTGTGGTGGAAATGGGTAGCAGTAGTGATGAATTTTGTCCAGTATGAAGTGACCGGCATTAATTTTCCGGGAGTCGTGAAGTTTTCGTTCGATATTTCAAGATTTTTGAAAAGTTTGGTTCCTGTTGGAGGGTTCATGTTTTTTTTGAGAGTTCCCGTTTTCCCTGTTTTGTTCCGGCCCCCAATGGATGTCCTGTTCCTGTTTCGGCCCCAAATGGATGTGTTTACTGCTGATCTCCGGATAGATGCTACAGAGATATAACAAGTTCTTTTTGTGAAGTGGAAATATGTAAATCAAGGTAACTGTTTTTTTTTTGTGTTCAAATTTTAAACTAAAGACAGACAATTTTTTTATGAAATAATTGCTTTCGTTACATTTAAAATTGTAAATTTTTGGTCTTGAGTTGAGCTGTCAAATTATGTGTTTAGTTTTTTTTGAAATTTAATGTTAATTTATGACAGCTCGTTTTATTATTTTTTGATTTTACTTTGTTTTGTTTAAAAAAAAAGGTTAACCTCCATGCAATTTTGTAAGTTTTATAGCAACAGAGTTTGTAAGCGGATGACACATCTAAGTTTTTGTGTTTTGTTTTTTCTTCATGTAACTGTTTGTGGTGACACATAAATAAAGGTTAAATTTTGTTGTCTTAACTTTTTATTTATTTTTTTGAGCCAAACCTTTTCTTATTTGAAATAGATACGTTTGAAATAGATTCTTATTTGAAATAGATACGTTTGAAATAGATTCTTATTTGAAATAGATACGTTTTTTATGTTTTGATTTGTTTTCTAATTATTTCCCCAGTTACAACCAGTGGTTGTAATAGGTATAATTGGGCATCTCAAGTGGCTCCCTATATTAAATTCCTTGAGGTGTTTCTTGTTTATTTTTATTGTGTTTGTTCCAAGAGATTAATGACACCTTTATTTCATTTTCTTGTAGTTGCCCCATTCTAACCCCTTTATCTTTTACTTATCCACGACCCCAGCTCTCCTACGAAACCCTGAGTGCCGTTCGCATAAGTAGCGTTTATTTTGCTTGCCCTATCTCCACCCCCAATAGTTTTTTCCCCTAATTTTCTATCTCCCGTATTAATGCCCCCTGTGGTAGGCAAAATATTATCGTTACAAAAAATGGCGCCCCCAACGTGGGTCTTCTTGTAGATTTTGATTTCTTTTCCCCTAGCCATATATCTTTTTCAATGTTTCCCTAGTTTTCTGTGCCATTTTTATCAAACCCTGTCTTTCGAGTAGTGCCCTGGTGTCCCACAAACAGTTTGTTTATGTATTTGTATCAACATATGTATTGTTGGTTTTTTTATGTATTGTTGTTTTTTCTACGTATTGTTCTTGTATTAACATATGTATTATTGTATTATTGTATATCAACAGATGTATTTGTTGTATATTGACATATGTAATGTTGTTTCTTTTATTTCGTGTACTGTAGAAATTTTTCTATATGTATTTTATGTGTATTGGT